TGAATTAATTCAACTAAATTGGCTGTAGTGTATGTGTGTGAATAAGTGGGTTTGAGTGCATACCCAGTACTGGGCTGCAGCTGAAAGGGAATCCGCTGTGTGAAACATATGCTGGATAAGTTTGTGTTTAATTCCGCTGTGGCGACCCCTTATGAATAAAGGGACTGATATGTTTAATATGTTTTTATTGGATTTTAATACATTTTATCAGATTCCTAATTGTTTTTTTTTTTTTTTTGATCTCATAACATTCTTTATAAAACTGTAATAACCTAAACGCACATTTCTAAATGAACACTTTGTTGAAAAATAGTATGGTAAGTACTTTGACAAAATTGTGGGACTTATTTTTGCTGCATCAAAAAGTGTGGTTATGATCACCATCCCACAAGCTAATGCAGCAAAGATTAGTGCTTACAATGTCACTAAAATGTAGTATTTGAAGCTCATCATTTAATAGCTCCACTTTTTGAGAAAAAAGAACCACCCCTTTCAATTGGCAGTTGGAATTTAACAAGAATTATTTATATTATTTATTAAATTTCCCATTTATTATATTTTATTAACGTCTACCCCTACCCCAACCCTAAACCTGACTGTCACAGTAATGTAAAAACAGTAGTTGTACCGAGTATAATTTAAGTTATACATTAAATTACTCAATAAATTGTATTTTTTAACGCCCACCCAAACCCTAAACTCAATCGTCACAGTATTGTAAAAATATTAACTATTGTTATAAAGTGTCATAAAAAAACGCTATATTGATGGCTATATTGAAAGCTGCTGTTATACATTTTAGGAAAATCGTTCTGGAATCGTTTAGGAAAACTTGTATTATTTTAGTACATTTTAGTAATTTTAGTTACGAGTTTTGGGTCAAACAGACTTGCAACAGATTAGTGTAAATCACCAAAAATACCAAATTTAATTACTTACAGCTTCCCGGGCCGTTTACATCGAAGTTAATTTTTAGCTGCACAATGTTGTTGTTTCATAACATCTCATTTTTTTTAAGAGGTCATTCCCAACGCTCAACCCCCAACTTGGAGGATCAAGACATACACACATACGGACAATTTAGCTTACCCAATTCATCTATAGCGAGCTGCATGGTAAAGGGACAAGGCAGAAAAGAAAATGAATGAATGAATGAATGAATGAATGAATGAATGAATGAATGAATGAATGAATGAATTCACCTATAGCACATATCTTTGGGTTGTGGAGGAAACCGGACCACCTGGAGGAAACCCAAACGAACATGCAAACTCCACAGAAATGCCAACTGACCCAGGCAGGGCTCGAACTAACTTCTTGCTGTGAGGTGACAAGAACAGCAAATGTAATTAGACTGTTTTTAAAAATTAATTTCTAAGCATCTCTGTCAGTTCGCTCCAGAATATTTGTTTTAGTTTGGGTCAAACTGATTGCAAACATCATACAAGGGTTAATTTCTATTGAAAAAGAAAGACGCCTTCATCTTGGTTGGCCTGAGGGTGAATAAATTGCAGCAACAGCAACTTATTTTATTTCATTTTTAAGTGAACTATGCCTTTAAAAAGCATGAAATTAATTCAAGGTAAAATGAAAAGTGTCTACTTATTAAACATTTGAAAGCAATCTGCAGTGAAAAACCCGCTTACATGTACTTTTTAATTGGTCTTTTTTGTACCTTTGAATTCCTGAAAGACTGAGCGGAGGCAAGGCTGATCCTCATCTGGGGGCTGTTGTGTGTTTCAGTGGAGAGCTGTATTTTGCATAGACCCTGGAGTGATCCGAGTCCCATCTAAAGATAATATGAGGTGAGTTTCTGAATTCATTCGTGGTGTGCATGTGAAATAAAAAGATGACGCTATGTTGGATGAGACTGTACAGCATTTCAAAGAGAATATTGCATTTTTCAAAGCCTCATCTGTCCCTGTGATTGTACGACGAATGTTTATTTTTCGCAAACCAGTGATGGATTCGGCATCCAGCTGTTTTACATCTACTTTTAATTCCTTTTGTAATACTTCCCTCTCATAGAAATCCCATAAGTATCTTTTTGAAATGGAGACACACTAACACACACATTCTCACACACACACAAACACACGATGCACACACAATATAAACAAGCGGGGATTACAATGAGAACAGAAAAGGCTGATGTTGTCTCATGACCACACTTTTTCCACCAGGCGTTTCCCGAGAGATGTGAATTCCATCCTCTAATCTTATTTGTCATTGCATATTAGAGCCTTACTTGTGTTTACAAACCATATTCCTCTGCACTTGATACACAAGGCTAAGAGCTATGGAATCGAATCGGAATGAAAGCCAATCCACGCTGGAGAAAACACAGTTTGGCCTGTTAGAGGAACGGGCTGAAGCACCTCCTTTAGTATCAAGAGGGGTAACAGTATCCCTTCTAGAATGTAACTGTTTATCATGGGCTAATGTTCGGCAGGGGCTGCCAGAGCTGTGTGTGCTAAACAATGCACTCATTCAGAGCGTCGCGCATCTGCTAGTGATCTGGGACGGGACGTCGATACGCTCTCAAGGACGACGGCCTCTGGTCCCATCCAGGGGAGAAAGGAGGTCTCGTGCCACCGTATGTGCCATGCTTGAGAGCCACTACACCAGTGGGCTGGAGATGAACAAAACCAGAGGGAGGGGAACTGAAAGGGATGTTTTTAGGGTTAAATGTACTGATTGTTCTCTTTCATACACAAAGACACGCACAAAAAATAACTGTCTACTGTTTACTTGACTTTCATCTTCATCGTTACAGTTCATTAACTCTTTCTGTTCAGACTTACGGGCTCCATCTTCTCTCATAGAACACTGTGTCTTTTGGAGAGCAGATTTACCCTAATATCGAAGGTGTGTGACATGATTGGTTTTGTTGCAGGTGAATATTTGGTGCTCTCTGGTTCGCACACAAGGTCTAGTTAGATCGATCTGCTGGACATCAGGTGAAAATAATAATGTGTTAAATACACAAGATCAAATATATTTTTAATCAACATTTACACTCACCGGCCACTTTATTAGCTCTATTAACTGCTCTTTAACGCAAATTTCTAATCAGCCAATAACATGGCAGAAACTCAATGCATTTAGGCATCTCGACATGGTCAAGAAGATCTGCTGCAGTTCAAACTGTGCATCAGAATGGGGAAGAAAGGAGATTTAAGTTACTCTGAACATGGCATGGTTGTTGGTGCCAAACGGTCTGGTCTGAGTATTTCAGAAACTGCTAATCTACTGAGTTTTTCATGCACAACCATGTCTAGGGTTTACAGAGAATGGTCCGAAAAAAAAAGTCAGAGGAGAATGGCCAGACTGGTTTGAGCTGATAGAAAGGCAACAGTAACTCAAATAACCACTATTTACAACCGAGGTATGCAGAAGAGCATCTCTGAACACTCAATGAACAATGAGGCAGATGGGCTACAGCAGCAGAAGACCACACCGGATGCAAACTGAGGCTACAATTCGCACAGGCTCAACAAAATTGGACCATAGAAGATTGGAAAAACGCTGTTTGATGAGTCTCAATTTCTACTGCGACATTCGGATGGTAGGGTCAGAATTTTGGCATCAACAACATGAAAGCATGGATCCATCCTACCTTGTATCAACAGTTCTGGCTGCTGGTGGTGGTGTAATGATGTGGGGGATATTTTCTTGGCACAATTTGGGCCCATTAGTACCAATTGAGCATTGTGTCAATGCCACAGCCTGCCTGAGAATTTGGCCACCTTCAATACCTTTTCTCGGTGAAAAATTATGTCCCGGTCTGCCCCTAGATATGGTGGAACAGGAGATTCGCAAAATGGATGCTAGCATGTGCACATGGACCAAAATCTCTGAGAAATATTTCCAGTACCTTGTTGAATCTATGCCATGAAGGATTAAGGCAGTTCTGAAGACAGAATTGGGTCCAACCTGGTAGTAGTAAGGTGTACCTAATAAAGTGGCCAGTAAGTGTATATTGCACTTCATTTGATCCTTGAAACCCATTTTAACTCATATGAAATGAATATGAGTGAATTCTGTGGTTTTTTTGAGTTTTTTTTTTCTTTTTCTTTTTAACAAATGTATGTATTTTCAGTCATGTTTGTAATGTTTGTTTAATTTGGACACAATAATTTCTTTTTTGTTGTCATTCTTCAGTAAAGAAGCATTTGCTGGTAAAGGGCAGATGGTCTTACATCATCAAGTCTGTGAAAAACACTGAAAAATCAAGCTACATTTATTGAGACGTTTTTGTGGGACCCCATACGACCCAAGCAGTCGTTACGCAGACATAAATCTCAATCTCTTGTAACAGATTTGTTTGGCCTCTGTTAAGTCTTTGTCTGTCACTCATGCACACCTTCAGAGTGGGTTTTAATTACCTGAGGAAATCTGTCTCATAAACACCAACACCCATTAAGATAATTCCACCCATTGAAAGATGTTTAATTAAAAGGAAATGATTAGGACCCCTTGACTGTTTTATTTCCATTAATTGTCTAGTGTGACAATATCAAGCACCCCCTGCGGAGCGCTGATAACGCGCGCGGGGTGAAAGATAACACATCAGACAACGGCACCCATTCACTCCTATCGCGCGACAACCTCCGCCACGCGTGGAGTCCTGAGTGAAAACCGATCTGTGGAAAATTGGGGAGGAAATAGCCTTCCCGGGATCAGCGTGGCCGTATAGAGTTACGGCGGAGGCCCCTCCCCCTGTCTGGCTCGCTCTTTTTTCTCAACCTCTCGGTTGGCTTTCCGTGAGGGCTCGATCCTGCTCGCGCTCAGACCGCTGAGAAATAGCGGGCAGAAGATGGCTGACTCGACCGGGCACCGTGAGCCCGCAGCAGCAGCAGCAGCATCAACTTCACCGGGGCTTCTCACGCGCCTGCCATTCGCTGCCACTCCGCAACTCTGAAACCGCCCCGCCTCGCTCCGTGCCGTGCGCCCGCGGGGTTTTCACCCCTAAATATTGACTGAGATTTAAAGAAAACATGGCTGAGATGGAGAAAGAGGGAAGACCTCCGGAAAGCAAGAGGAGCAGAAAGCCAGCTCACCCTGTGAAGAGGGAAATTAACGCAGAGATGAAGGTAGGTTGTGCGTGCGCGCGCGCTCTCTCACTGGCGCCCATAAAGGCTTGTCATTTTTGGATGCGTTGAGCGCACCGCCGCTCCGCCCTCGGACTGAATATAGAGAACCGATTCATTCAAGCGCTGTGTGTTTGGGGTTAATCAGCTAACTTTGATTTTTTTCTTTTGGTTTGCAGAACAGGTCGGCATTATTTTCCTCCCGTTTCTATTTCGAGCTTAATTCAAACACCTTCCAAGCCATTCATTTCCAGATGATCTGATTTGTTTGTATTGCATTATAGGTTTTATCTAAACACACATGTATATGATTTTTCCAGTCGTATACATGTGAAATGTTCCCAGTCACACCATGAGATGATTTAGAGTGAAATCCCCTTGTTGGCTTCGCTGTAGTTGATGGAAAATCCAGTGCGTCAGTCTCCGCGTCAAACTGCTGCGTTACTACTACTACTACTAGCGCGTTACTATCACTCAGCCCAACAACACAAGCCTCAGAACAGAGTAAAAACTCAGTATTGAAACGGAAAGCATGCTGGAAGGGTGCAGCTGTCCAGCTGTTCTGACGCTGGCTACTCCAGATGTGCATCTGTTCAACACTGACGGAGCGCTGTCTGCTTGTGACAAACGCACATTTTAATTACCTTTTGGGGGTATTTTGAACATGCAGGTATAGTTTAGTGTATTTAAGAACAGGGGGATTCTTCACTTTTTTGTTCTGTTTGAGCAGAGCCGTGTGTTTGTGTTTTGAAGGCGCACACAGGCGCTTTGTCTCCTGGTTTTGTGGTGCTCATTGTCTGAAGCGTTTGCATCAGCTGCCCTGCAGCCTGATGTTTTGAAAACGCCAGAAATTGACTGTGCGTTTTTTCCACATCAAACTACATCCCGGGTGATACCTTAGTTGTAGATAGACTCATTTCCTTATTCCTATTGTTAATCTGATAACGTGTTTAGGCTGCTGTAAAGGCGCGTGTGGCTTTGGTGAAATTGCTCCGTTCTCTCTCTTCTTGTCAGTGATTATTTGACTGAGCTGCGCGAGGCTCACCGCTCCGCCGGGGCTCTAAATTTGACAGATATTGATCGACCTGTAGCGGAGAAACACGCGTGCGTCTCTCCAGTCTCCTTAAACGCCAGCGATCTTTCAGTTTGACGTAGCTCACTCACACACAGAGAGGGAGAGTGATAACTGAAGGATACAATGCAGAAACAGACTTATTGTGGAGCTTGCAGGCTATGTGCGAGGTTTGAATTATTGGGGGGGTAGAGAGCTCTGAAGCGTAATTATTAAACCATTCTTAAAAATTATATATATCATTATAAAAAGGAAAAATATATTATAAAAGGAAAATAAGTAAATTAAGTATAAGAGTTATAATGCTATAATACTGTCATGAGGGTCTACGACCATTGTGGTATCATTTCCTGTTTATGTTTAATGAATAAATCCTCACACTGACTTTAATGTTTTTTTAATAAGAGGTCTATACTTAAAAGAAGTACTGAAAAGAACTGATTTACTGCTTTTTATAGAAATAATAATAAAACACACATTTTCTCCTGACATTATAGCATGTTTCATCAAATTCATATGAATTCAGATTAATTTAAAAGCTCAGAAATCATTTATCCAAGAGATGTGTATTATCTGCATGAATCACAAATGTAATTAGTTTAGAAAAACTGTTTATCCTTAAAAAAAAGACTTCTCTGACCTGTGATTTTATGTTTGCAGTGTGTTTGCTGTTTGTTCATCAATGAATTGATTTGAAAATCTCATCACTGCCTGTGCAACAAGTTTGCGATGTCCTTCAAACTGACCTTTCATTTAATAAGGAATCAATTTTTATACAATCGCTTTTCGACAGCGAGAGATTAGAACAAATATCACTGAATGTTCAAATTGATGAATGTGTTTCCTGTTTGTGCATTTGCTTCCTATACTGATAGTAAAAACCGAAACAAAAAAAACATGCTTTAAAATAAAACTCCACTCAAACTGTAATATAATCCTTTAGGTTACTGAACGAGAGATTAAAGTGCAACACAATTCGTTGATTTCTCCTTGTACTTCAAGTCTGCCACACATTGTTTAGTCTTTGCTTTCTTGAGAAATCCACTACTTGCATCTCCAAAGGTCTGGAGGTCTGAGTGTTGGCGTTGTCAGAGGTGTAGTTTGTGAGAGTCAGGCACAAGTCTGTCATTTCAGTCGTAGAGTTGTCATTTTTACCACATGACTGTGGATGAAGCAGTTCTCAGCCACGATTTTGACAGAGAGTGGACCATTAGACCACATTTCAACCCACCCAACTATTTAAGGCCAAGCTCTCTCCAGACAGCAACCTGCAGTTGTTGTCAGCAATTCGCTTTTCTCACTGTGTATATTCCTCCTGTGCACCACTTAAAAACACATGCATTAAAAAATCCTTTTCCATTAGCATCACACATCCTTTAGTGCAAGCAATAATGCTTTGTGGGTATATGTATAGTCATATAATAGCCACACATCATAACAAAACATAGCTGGTAGTCAGAATTGGCTAAGCAAAAATTGGCTGAGCATGCTGGGTAATAAGTGGTGCTTCAGTATACATACAGTATACACATATTGAAAATTAATTAGCCTCTAATATGTCTTTTATTATTTTTTTTTAAGATGGACTAAAACATTAAAATCATGTCTCACTTATGTGCTTCATCATTATAGGAGCTTCTTAAATAACTGCCAGAAGTTTTTCCCGTAATTGCCTCCGTTATCCTGTAACACACAGGTGTTTTTCAGCGACAACCACCCACATCTCACCCTGTGATCCCTCCACAAGTTAAATGCCTCTTTGCAAAAATGAAGAGTAGTCATGTGATGAAGAGATTGACTCTTGATCTTAAACACTAATGCTTGTAATGTCAGGCACCTTGCATAATTCCAACAACACAAAATCACATTAGCAAGAAAATTAACATATTTTTGCCTGAAAGATAAGTTTAAAGGGTACTCTCAGAAAAAAAGGGGGTGGTGCATTTTAACCCTTTAGGGATTTAAAAAATGTAGAAAGATGTATATTTTGAATGGATACTGTCCAACTGACAGCTTTTGTATTTTGTATGTGCTTTTAAATGATCTTTCAGTCAAAACATGTTAATTTTTAAAGTAAAACTCTGAAACAGAATAGAAAGTTTCTATGTATTTTTCTAAGAGTATATCCCATGTAAATATATATGGAATCCCCTGCAGTACATGCAAGGCTGTATCATTTAAACCCATATGTATGCTTACACATTTGTGTAGTGTATACATACAGTCTGATATATTTAACCATATGTAAAATGGGGATTGCATTATTTTCAGGTAGCAAAATAATCCTATAATCATTTCTATTCCTCTCTTCTCACTACCGCAATCAGTTTTAAGCCAATCAATGCAAAGGAAAGACACATCGTAATTACAGTATTTTAATTCCCAAAAAGCATTTACGTTCTCAGAGTTATAGGAATTAGAACTTGTTGCCATAAAATTGCATAATTCAATGTCTGAGAATATGAAAATATCCAAGTGGAACAATTGGTTGTGAAGGCAGCTTATGATTTAACATGTTAATTTAAAGAATTAGTTAAGGAAAAGTCACATTCAAATGACCAGCACGCTTAACAGATCTGCCTTAGACCTTTATAGGTCATAATAGTTCATTTGGTTATAATGCAGTGTGAGGTTTTTGTCTCATTTGTATGTATTACGTAATTTAATTTATACAACAGTCCAGAAAATAAAAAGTTAATATTCTGTGATATTTTAGACACACTATTGTCTGTTTTTGCTTAGTTTTTACTGCAAAAATGTTTTACCCACAGTTTTGAAAAAGTCTTTATTTTGAAACATCGAAACTGAAATTTGAAATTGAGACTGAGTGAAAAAATTATTTAAGTCATTCAAGTCAACATTTAATTGCCACAAACTGCAGTTCTAGCTTCATAGATTTTTTCATATATTTATTTCATATATATATATATATATATATATATATATATATATATATATATATATATATATATATATATATATATATATATATATATATATATATGTGTGTGTGTGTGTGTGTGTGTGTGTGTGTGTGTGTGTGTGTGTGTGTGTGTATATATATATATATATATGTGTGTGTGTGTGTGTAAGTGTGTGTGTTTTAGTGTTAGGCGATGTCGACCGATTTTGCATCGTACGATGTCTAATGTGAAACATCGCGATAGACGATGGCATCGTCATAGGCGGAGGTGAATAAATTATTTATGAATAATAAATTAATTTGTAGCCTATCGTTTCAATAACCTGACCCGCATGGTCTTTGTTTTACCCATAAGCAAATCTTAAATAAATAAATATAAGTTACCCTCAAATTACCACTTGTCAATCACTTTTTCCGCAGGAGGTTGGTCGGTAAACAAAAGTGCACAACCAACAGTATCTGAGGTTTTCACTAAAATTATTAAGTACAAGTGTGAAAGTGAAAGAAGTGTACTGATGCTGTGACACGTGACCTGATAGATTCAAAAGATGGGGTGGAGGATCGGTGATGCCGGCTCAGCATTGTGTTGTCTATTGGCTATCGGCGATGAACGATGGCATTGTCTACTGCCCAACCCTAATATATATATATATATACATATATATATATATATATATATATATATATATATATATATATATATATATATATATATATATATATATATATATATATATATATATATATATATATATGTGTAAAATCTATGAAACTAGAACTACAGTTTGTGGCAATTACATGTTTGATACGGGTTTCCTCCGGGTGCTCTGGTAACCCCCACAGTTCAAAGACATGCGCTATAGGTGAATTGAATAAGCTAAATTGGCTATAGTGTATGTGTGTGACCTCAACAGTGTATAGGTATTTTTCAGTGTTGGGTTGCTGGAAGGGCATCCCTGCGTAAAACATATGCTGAATAAGTTGGCAGTTATTTCCTCTGTGGCGATC